AAGATTCGCTCGCCCGATGAACTGTCATTAAATTGAAATGGAACGAGGTTCGTCTGTTGGCGCGCGTGTGTTCGGTAGGTAGGTAGGTTTGTTTTAAGTTTATGTTGCATGTGTATATGTCTTTGTGTCTGTGTGTGTCTGTATGTGTATCTGTATCTGTGTGAGCATTTGTGTCTGTATGTCTGTGTTTGCGTGTGCGTGCGTGCGTGTGCTGCCTCTGTTTATTTGCCCTATCTAACTTTTTATATCCAATACTAACTGAATACTAAGTGAATTGTATTAACTTGAATAAAAAATATTTTGTTTTTCGCTTTAAAATAATTTATATTTTCAATTTAAAAATGCATATTCATTGAAGTTTGACAGTAAAAATAATTAATTTCATATGTGTATGATTATGGATTTTGTTAGCATATGTGCTCTACTATTTTACCTATGCATGTACCTTAGTACCTTAGTGCCTCTTATAATATAAGGTCAAAAAAACTCTCTCTTTTTTCTCTCTCTCTCTTTCTCTCTCTCTCTCTCTCTATTCCTCTTTCTCTCTCTCTCTTATTTGTATGTGAGTGTGTTTGTGTGTGTGTAAATGTAAGTAATGTCTTTGTGTGTGTGCGTATGTGTATTGAACTTCATCCGTTCATTCGCCAAATGATTAATTAATATAACGATGCAAAGTTTGAATTATTATATTATTATTATTATTATCACGCACATCCACATCCCACCACATAAATCGACACCAGAGGACACATACACACGCACACACACCAACACACACGTATTTACGCAAATACGTTCATATTTACTGATGTCTAGTTTTTGAACACTTCTCCCAATTTCAAACAAGAAATTTGTTTGTCAAAGTTTTCAAAATTTGGTGGAAAGGCGATACATACATACAATTTTTACATTCATTTTGAATAAATAAACCAGCAGGAAAGACATTAAAACCCAACTTTAATAGTCTAATTGATAAATTAAACAATACAATAATATAATAAATTAATTAAAAAATGTTTTCATTATTGCATAAGTCTACTTTTGTTCGAATACATTTCTAATTCAAGAAACTGTTTAGTCGACCAGTCAAATTTGAGATGGTACTTATCCACCAATTAAATTTACGATATCAATTATCCACCAATCAAATTTAAAATATCAATTTTCCACCAATCAAGTTTAAGATGACAATTTGCCCTTGTATTGGAAGTCAATGCCCTTGATATGGTTAACCAACCTAAACAATTAAAAATACATAAATTATTAGTATTAATGCTATAAATACTATATAGCGGTTTGCTAGAGTAGTAGTTAAGTTGCTTGGCTCTGCTGTTACAGTGTTGTTGTTGTTGTTGATGATGATGATATGACATCACAAAGAAATACTACAGAAAATTGTATAAATAAATAAGAAAACAAGCGCTAAGTAAGGATTCATCGTGGTGGTAAAGGAGTGGCCTGAATGTTATTTACAATTATCAAATTTTGCAAAATTTTAAATAAACTTTCGCCAAACAGACCAGCAACATGTTTCATTTAAAAGTT